AAATAAATAAAAATAAAATATATTTAAAAAAAGTTAAAATAAAAAACATTTGCGGTTTCGGCCTGACATTTGTTTTTATTTCGGTTTCGGTTTTGAAATTTTCATTTCGGTGCACCTCTCTAATAAATACTCTGTAACAATATTATCACAATTATTAAACTGCAGCTCTTAGGCCTCGTTCACACGACTGTTTGGATCAGATGCGCCTGTCACTTTTTTAGGTGGATCTGATTGGAAGCTCAATGTTAGCCTATAAGCCGGCAGATGTAAACAGAAGTGCATGCGTTTATATTCTAATACCTCCAAGTCTGTTTATGTCCATAAAAGAAGAAAAAGTCTTGCTTCCTTTTTTCAGACCTAAATGTGATGGATCTGCAATAAGGAAGCACTGTCTGAGGTCTGTTTACATGCACTGCCCAAACGGCTAACATGGCTCCTATTTTTCCTCCATAACAAGATGGACAGATGGCTAGACCACCTGTGTGAACGGGCCCATACAAGCAGCTCCTGAACTTTCCTTTGATCTGCTCCTCAGTCAGAACCAGGAAACTGCAATTTTTTTAAGCAGAAAAGTTGCACATTCCTATTTCGGTTTTCCATATGTTTACATAGGACATACTGAAATAGGGAACACATAATACACATGACTCCCATTACACTCAACCACCACACAAGACGCATCAAACAGAAAAAAAAAATAAAAAAAATTGCACATTCTGTGAAGGTGCAAACAAGAATAGTATCACCTGATTGGACATGGTGTATATGAAGGGTGGCGTGGTCAAGGGCCAGGGGTTATTAGCCCATATTTAACCCAATTTAATGCCCCCTTCTCTTCTTTGCTAGTTTTGGCCAGTTTTTTGGGGTTGTTTTTTTTAGCAATGTGTCGAAGACGAATAAACCCCTTTCATTTTGTTGTAAATAACTTTGTACCAGAAACATTAGTGATACAATGAGACCAATTGCTGAATAAAACACATGGGGCTTCATATATGAGAGTCCTGCCCAGCTATACACACTAGTGCCCCTAGATGGCGCTGACAAGTATAGGAATTTCCTATACTCACCAGCGCCATCTAGGAGTGCTAGGGCCGCATAATTGTGCCGTGCTTTCATACATAAAGCCTTTGTTGTTTTAAAACTACCATTGGTCAACCGGCAAAAAAAAAACGTTTTTTGTCATTTTACCTCAATTTACCTTGAGACAATATAAACATTAGAATAATTTTGGAAGACAGAATTACGGAAAGAAAGTCGTATTGTAGTTTTTGCCCAGAGATGCACTTTAAATCAGAATTCCTGACCTGAATACTGGTCCTGAGTCAGTAACTCAGAAAGTATCAAAGCCAATGGATTATCCTGACAGCCAGGAAACCAGTATTTCCTGGTGTAGTGTAGGTCAGCAACGGCAGCCTGTTTACCAGTTCAATAAATAGATGATGACAGTTGTACCTTTAGGAATGGGATGACAAAGGGGCGGAGGGGGAAGTTGGTTGCTTCTTGCAGTTTCCCGTGAAATTCTTCAATTGTAAGTGTTGAATTCTGGGGAAAAATATCATAAAATCGGTTTTAAAGACAAGCCCCGGGTAACGTCACGCAAGTTTTAAAGAAAGTTATTCTGTTATTAAATATGAATAAAATATCATCTATAACAAGTTCCTTCTGCCAATCGCATTGTAGTCCCTAAGAAACACATCTGCATTACATATCCGAACACATTTCATTCACTGTTTTTGCTTAAAGCGTATCTATAGCCAATCTTTTGTTTTTCGTTTTGTATGGAAGGAGGTAGAAGAATGTCTGTCAGGTATTTATATCTGTCTGTCTATGTCTGGGAAGATTCACCCTCTCTATTATATGTCCTGGTGACCAGGGCCGCCATCAGAAATTTTGGGGCCCCTTACACAGCTTTAGGCCGGGACCCCCCCCCACAGCCCATCTGAGACTGTCTATGGTGGGCTCTGAAGGGGTCTCAGATGGGCTGGTCAGGGCTGCATTCCTTCCTTCCTAGCTCCTCTTACCTGCACACATGACCTCGTCTGCCACCGGACCAGCCAGAAGTGACGTCACTTCCGGCCAGTCCGACATCAGACGAGCAGCGTCGCTGATGGGGCCCTAGCTTGTCTCAAAGCCGCTGGAGCAGCAATGCTGGGGCCCTGCGCTGCTAGGGCCAGGCCTCCGTCTCCTCGCCCTTCACCGTCGGCCGATAGTCATGTAAGGGACCCGTGCGGGCCCCCCAGGCTGCCCGGGCCCCTTACATGAGTATCGGTCGTACCCCCCTGATGGCTGCCCTGCTGGTGACCACTGTCATTGAGACAGAAACTGATGGGAAATCCAACATTTTACAGTTGTCACCAAAACAAGATAAGTGCAAAGGAGGCCATATACCTGCCGATTATCGCGGGAAATCCCGCGATCGTACGACAATCGGCAGGTGTATGGAAGGCGTGCGACCGTTTCTACTGTACGTTCGCACGTCTTTTGTCTTACGAGCACGTTGGAAAACCTGTCGAAAATCGTAAGATTTTCGGCGGGTTTGTGGCCAGCTCGTAAGACAAATGCTGCACGGGCCGGTGTGCGCAAGCGCACACTGCCCGCTCAGCATTGCAGTCAGCGGAAGCCCGCCCTTCAGCGGGGAGATCTTGCGATGATCGCTAGTACAATCTGCCTGTCCAAGATGTGCAGATCGTACAAGCTTTTAATGACCTTACAACCATCGCAAGACGAAAGTCGTTCGATGGTTGTAAAGTGTATGGCCAGCTTAAATCTTCTCCTGGGGACACCTTTTGCGATGATAAAAAGGAGAAACCCCCTTTAATGTGTAGACATTTTCTCACACTCTGAGACAGGAAGTGAAGAGAAAACTCCACAATGGGACAAACTGACGGGGTTCACATGAACTGTCTAACTAATGATGTTCAATTCCATTCATCCAGGCTTGTGAATATCAGAACGTATAGTCAGAGGTCTCTCCTTAGACCTCTCTGTTGGCTACACTTCAGCTGGGCTATACAGCCTGGTCTAGAATCTGCCTCAGTCTGTCACTGGACAATGAATAAGCAGCAGAACACCCATAAGATCATCATTCTGTCCTCTTGGAAAGCTCCCAGTGTTAGATAAAGAGCATTGAATGGATCTGAGTGCTGGGCCGGGCTCCTAAAGGCTGGCCATACACTGATCATTTTTTCTTGTTCAGCTCTACGGGCTGAGCGTGGAACAACAATTGATTCCTCCAACCATGCCAAACAGCGTGGACGGGGAATCCTTCCCACTGGGCTACGCTACTCTGCCAGAGGTGGGTGTGCCACCATCAGAATACCCAAATAGCTGATTGGCTGTAGCCTTTGTTTGTCTGAGAATTTTCAGACTGGCTCCTTTGACAAACGTCAATTGGAATGGAGGGGGTGTCAATGGACTGGGTCACACGCTGGTCAAATTTTGGCCAAGTCAGCAGGACTCTCTGAAATTCTACCAGTATATGTCCAGCTTTAGTGGTGCAGTGCAGGGTATAACAGTCATCTAATATCAAAACAGATGTAGATACTTGTGTTAGCTGCATGTTAAAATGTGGGGAAAAAATTGTATTTCGTGATTTGATAATTGGATAATTCTCTTTATATCTGCTTGGAGTTCAGCATCAAAGCAACTTTGTTCCGAGCATAAAGCTGGCCATATGCGGCTCGAAACTTGGACCATCTTGTGAATTGGCCAACATTTGAGCTGTGGGTGGCCCTGCCGACACCACTTCAATAGTACCATCCTTGCAATTGCCAAGGAACCACACTGTCCACCGTGTCTTGCCAGCTGCCCACCTAACCTATATAGCAAGGGTACATATAGGCAAAGTTCATGGTGAATATAGCCCCGTCCATGTTTTATTTGCATGCCTTTGTATCTAACACGTATAAAATAATAGCTTTGGGTATAGTTTGGGTAATAGTAAGCATGTATATATGACTTAAGATTGTTCTTATCTGGCTATATATGTGAGCACACCCAATGTTAGCAGCCGCTTTAGGCTGAAATATAAAATTAGCAGGGCCGCCTGTACTTTGGAATAATAACTCAATTATTGATAGCCGCTCACTCATTTGCATATAGGACTGTAAATGTTTAAACTCTTGTTTTATGTAAATACATCTGCAGTCTAAGCCGCTGGCATTTCCTGCCTTCCATACTCACCACCAGTCCCAGCACCAGGGCCCGCACACGTTCCCCGATCTCCGGAGAGATGTCGCTGCCAAACTGCTGTAATGTCGTTAGGAAGCGCTTGAGTTTGCTGAGCTGCCGGGCTCCGCAGGCCGGGGGCAGCTGCTGATTGGTTAGTGCAGCCGATGAAGACGCAGAGGGTCCGTTGCTGAAACCATTGGGTGTGGATGGGGCTCCATTGATTGCAGTGGGGGAGTGACTGCTCCCGTTCATTACTGCGGAGAAAAAAAAAAGGATTATGACTGATCTAGAATGTGAACTGTGTTATAAATGGGATCAGGGGTGTCCCTAGACCAGGGGTAGGCAACCTCGGCTCTCCAGCTGTGCTGAAACTACAAATCCTATAAGGCATTGCAAGCCACAGGCATGACTCCCAGAGGCAGAGGCATTATGGAGACGCCAGCCAGAGTGCCACAGGTTGTCCAATGAGATGCCGCCTGAGGCAACTGCATCTGGCTGCCTCATTATAGGGACAGCCCTGAATGGAATGATGAACAATGGGTTGCATTTTTATTTAAGTGTATCTAAATGCATTTTTTAGGTTTGGATAGAGGAACTGCTGGTCCTGCATTGTATAGGATGACATCAGATGGCTGGGACCTGGGACTGGCCAGGATGTAAAATGAAGTGGCTTTGGGGGACTGATCGTGAAACAGGAGGAGGCCATCAATAAAATAAGTATCTGTAGTTATTCCTTTCCCACTGCTGCCTACTGCTTGTGTCAATGCAGCCAATACACAATTATTTATGCTCTTTTAAAGTAAGTGCCCGGACCTTCATGTTTATTTTATTATGATATATATATATTACTGTATATAACCACCACATCCAAGTACCGGTAAGAAGCAATATATATAAATGTTTGCTCTTTGGTTTACATACACGTTAAGCTTTCCATCTATTTTTATTATGATCCCTCTGTTAGGTCTCAAGGTGAATCTGATTACTAATTTTCTTAAATTGCCCCCCTCCCCATCTCGGATGTATACATTAGTTAGGGCCAGTGCCCTGAAAACAAACTCCATTCTTATAATACGTTCCAGCACAACTCCTTCTTCATACACACCGGTCTCGTGGCATGCTACACACAATACAATGTTTTATGACCATTCAGATTTCTTGTATTCTGATTTAAAGACATGTTAATACAATGTAACCATACACATAATTGTATGTAAAACATAAGATTGCCACCCCCAACATACACAGATTACATCTGTAATATTCCATTGCCATAGATATTATATAAAATTGTACAATCAAAACACACATGTAACAATCCACTTGGGCCCTAATCACATATTTTTAAATATCTAATTTATTCAGTTTCCTGTGTCACTATATCCTCATCAAATATTTACATCTGGATTGGGTGTAACATGATCCCACATATATACATATATGTACATATCAATCTACACCTAGTAAACTGTACAAATAATACTATAAACAGATTTTATATATACATATTATATATATATATATAT